GTGAAGGGGAATCTGTTCATCCTCGAGTTTGTTGGCATTGTCACAAACAAGTACCATAAATCCTTCTCTTCTTTTTGGAACTCCTTTTAGCGTAGTTATTCTGCTAAATTTCTTCTTAACTATTATTATGCCCTCTTCAACAGGAAATTCTTGTGGTTGGAATCGGAAAACATGTTCTAAAAATTGATACCACAAAATTTGGAAAAGCTGAAGTTTTTTCAGCGGATGAACCTCTCAGGTGTCCTGTTGAGAGGTTGGTTGATGGGGTACAACTTGTTGGTACTCATGATGGAGAAGTGACTGATTTGTCAATGTGCCAGTGGATGACCACTCGATTGGTATCTGCTTCTGTGGATGGCACGGTTCGTGGGAGTTTTGCTTATAGTTTGTTATGTTTGTTGTCTTTGCTCTATGTGGCAGCCATATCATTCAATGCATATGAATTTGTAAAACGATACTTCAGCAACAAGTCCTACCAAAACTTTTTATCCAGTGATTTATATGCTACAGTTCATCGTTTTTCATGAAATGGTGCCCCATGCATTTTTAAACAACCAACTCGCAATTGACAAATGGGAATTTGGGAATGTGTAAAATATAGAGCTTGCAATGAAAACGTTATTTTACGAAACAATATCCAGTATGTAAGATTCAAATATTCTGTTGAACCAACAACAACATATATTCCAGAATGTTTGTGGTCCTTTGGTAGTTATCAGGAAGGTGGGCTATGTCATACTGTAACTGATGTTCTCTTCTTTAATACTTGCATAGTTCTTTAGGTTTTATGCATTCTTCACAGTGAATTTTGGTAGTGTGTGAAGTTCTGAAAACAAAACAAAAAGAGAAAAAAGGATGATATGATGTTCTCTTCTTTAATACTGACTGATAGATGTGGTCTGTGTCCTGTGAAATGAAAAAATGGTGATCTGATGTTGAACTAAGGAATTATCTTCTGCATTTGATAACTAAGCTTGGTTGCTCATCGACTGATACATGTGGTTTGTATCATGTTTTACAGATTAAGATTTGGGAAGACCGGAAGCCACTACCAATTGCAATTCTCAGGCCTCATGATGGTAATCCTGTTAATTCAGCTACCTTCCTGACTGCTCCACAACGCCCAGACCACATCATACTCATCACTGGGGTATGTGCTAATAAAGTTTGTAGCAAACATCTTTTGATAGAATCAGCTGTCTGCTATGAGTAATAAGTTATGTTTTGCTCTAAAGTGATCATATTTTAGGAGACTAGCAGCTATTCATTCAGAAAGTTGATCTCAATTTTGCTCAAAACGAATTGTATTTTAGGAGAATAGTTGCTACGCAATAAGAAGTTGATCTTGATTTTATTTTATTTTCTCCATAAGTTTGTATCTTGGTTGTTTCTTGCGTTTAGTTCTACATATATAACCAGTCAAAGGTATGCAGGGTCCACTTAATCGAGAAATGAAGATATGGGTATCAGCTAGTGAAGAAGGCTGGTTGCTTCCTAGTGATGCTGATTCATGGCACTGTACACAAACATTAGAG